CCTGGAGCTCTGAGTGTCAGTCATGCCCCCCATCCACTCTCCGGCGCTATGGGAACTGGTGCCAGACTCATTGTTATTCAGGAAGGTGACAAGTATTCCCAATGGACTGGACACCAATAGTCTTGTTTTTTCCTTACCCCATCCCAGAGGTTGCTGACACATGACAATATAAAGAGCCACAATATAAAGAGCCTTGGATAAGGACAGAGTTCCACAACTGCTGTGGTTTAGATACAATCAAGTTTGCCCCTCAAAGATTCATGTGCTGGGATGTTGGTCCCCAATGTACTGATGCTGAGGTAGTATAACCTTTAAGAGACAGGGCATAGTGGGAGGTGATTGGGTCAGTGCTGCTCTCCAAAGGGATTCTCCTGAGAGCAGGCATAAAGTGAGGCTCCCCCTTTTTCCCTTTCTGCTTCTCTGCAAGTTGTGACACAACCAGTGACACCCTCACCTGAGGTGAAACGGGAATCTACCTGACATGGGGCATTTAGGAACCAAAACTGTGTGCTAAATACATCTGAATTTTTTAAAAAGAAAATTATTAGGGAGGGAGGGAAGAAGGAAAGGAAGAAAATGGAGAGGGGGAGGAGAGAGAGAAAAGCTAACATTTGCTGTTTCATTCCTAGAGAGAGAGAGAGAGAGAGAGAGAGAGAGAGAAGCTTGCATCTGCTCCTTCATTTCCTGAATGCTCACACTTGCTGGGGCAGGGCCAGGCTAAAGCCAGAGCTGAGATCTCAAGCCAAGTCACCCACACAGGTGGCAGACACCTGACCACCTGACCTGTCACCTGCTGTGAGAGAAGCTGGAATTGGGAGCAGAGCTGGTACGTCCAGATACTCCGATATGGAGTGGGTGCCTCTTAACTTCACTCCCAAGCCTGTGTTCTTTATAGAATACCCAGCTTCGGGTATTCTGTTACAACCCATCAAGTCTTCCATTACAGCAACACAAAACACATTATGATAATGTTACATTTTAGGAAAAAAAGAGACAAGATATCAGCTAGATTGTTATGTATTAAATGCTTTCCCTCACCCTGCCAGGCAAGGGATACTACAGAACTGTGCTGGAGAAAGAAGTCAAGAGGACTAGTCTCCAAATACTTAGACAGTAGGAATGCAAATGGCCTTCAGAGAGCTACTTCATTTGTGAGCCAACGTCTATCATCTCAAGTTTCTATCATCTCAGGGATGATAGGAAACTTTACAACCTAGGAATAAACATATGTGGTCACAGTGATGCACAGTGCCCTCAGGGAGAGGGTCAGTCCCCAGAGCGCAGTCTGTCTCTAGGGAAGCTGTTAACTCTACAGACCTGAAGTGCCAGCAGAGTTCACATGAAAACCTGAGAAGCAAGACACACAGGCTGCCATTCAAAAAGCACATTTTAAAAAAAATATATAGACATTTTTAGGATTGCAAGTCACTGTGTTTTATGATCCCAGGCAGTTTTTGGTATTCAACAGACACCTGCACGCACAAACCAAATATAATACTAATATTTACTCTAAGCACTTAGTACCAAGAACTAAGTAATTTTCCTAATGACAATTGTTCTCTTCTCAAGCACTTCCAAATTGGAGGGTGTGCAAACAAATAAATGTTTTGGGTGGCCTAGCATAGTAACTTGGGTCACTTAAAAAGGAAAGCTATCCAAAATGTGAGCATGAACTACAAGGATACCACAATGCCAGGCAGCAGGAGCCTCTGTGCCATTTTCACTTTACATTATTTTAGAGGTATTCTAATGTCCAGGACTCCACTTTTTTGTTGTTGTTGGGGCTCAAGTTAGAAAGTTAAATGACATGTGAAATGCATTTGCTGCTGGCCTTTCGGGGTAATGACAGAAGTGACACAATGCCCTGTCTGGGGCTAGATTGGTCCATTGCTGCTATGATCTTGTGACTCTGAATTCACATAGAGCCACATAAATGTTCCAAGAAGCCTGTCCCTACCATTCAGTGTGCCAGGAAGTGGATGGTCCCTTTTTGTTGTCATTTTTTTTAACAATATCTATTTTTTGGCATTTTTTTCAAAGGCCTAGCTGTAATAACCTGCGCATTCAATTTAATGTTATTATTTTTGCTAAATGCTTTCAGTGCAGGAGGGATGGGGAGAGAAGTTTGTATTCCTGGACCATCAATATTTTCTTTTGAGGAGACTGCTTCAATAAAGAGGGGAAAATGACTCTATTTTATTCTTGGTATTTTTCGGTAAGTGGGGATAATTATCTGCCCAGAAGAACCACTGTGAGGGATAAAAACAGAAGCACTGGCACTCAGCACTGAGTAAGCCATCCATACTTGTGGGAGGCGAGGCTTTTTGTTTGGGGCTCTAGGAGGGTGGGTTATCAAGCCTTCCTGCTTCTGCCTAGCCAAGTAGAATTTTCCAGAGGAGGTGAAGAATGTTCAGACACGCTAGGGCCTAGGAGGAGCCTGCCCTCTCTTGGTACAGCAGAATTAGCATTGAATATGCAGCTTCTGCAGTTAAATTACCATGGGAGTTCTTACAGCCTAATGGCGTGTGTCAGTGAGCAGATTAGGACACGTGACTTACCAAGCAGACACATCAATTCAGGATAACTGGATAAACAAGCTAATTTGTGGGATGTAGCTAAGCTTGCGTCCTTGTCCTGAAGTGTCAGAAACAAAGATGCTTTTTATTGTTATTTTTTTTCAAATCTGTAATTCTTCCTAAAGCACAGGGCTCTAACTCTAGGCTCTGATCATATCTTCATTCCTTCAGTGCTGTAGTCTTTGCTAACTCTTCGCATGTACTTCTTTGGTTGGAGTGGCCTCTTAGCCTCTACTCTCAGCTGTGGATTCAAGCCTGACTCCTAGGAAGTCCAAACCCTCCAAGGTGGGTTAGAGGCCACCCTGTGATGTACTGTGCGGCTGCCAGGGTCTGCCTTATCATTTACACTTGTTCATCCTCTTCCTGTTTGTTTTTCTCTGTCTCCCATGAGACTATGTGCTCCCTGGGTATTTGAGTGGAGGGATACAGAGGAATGTATTAGATGGATGGGTGAATGGCTGGACAGGAATGCAAGGTTTCAGCATATAACTTCCCATTCTGTTTCCTTCACCTTATCCCTTGTCAGCTGGCAAAAAAAAAAAAAAAAAAAACAACAAAACAGCTCTATATTATAGGATGGTTAGGAAAATGGGAGTCTTCGGAGGGAGAGGTAAGAGCAGGTGTATCACTCCATCATATCAACGTGTGTGTTCTTGGGTAAGATGAATAATTATTAGCTCTTATCAACAGCTTATTAACTATATGGAGGATCTTGGTTATCAAGAAAAGTGGGACTATATTGTTACAATTTTACATATGCTTATGAGTTCAACAAAAATAATGTGTCAGCAGGCAGGTATGTACCATAGTGGCGAAGATGCCTGTGTCCTGTGCTGGGTTACTTATGTTTGATGTCTGGCCCCGGCTTCTGCCTCCAACTTCCTGTTGATGAGTCCCTGGAAGGTAGTGGTGGTGGCTGAAGTATCTGATTTCTATCATACATGTGGAAGACCTGGATAAAGCTCCTGGCTTCCAATTTTGTCTCTAGCCTAACCCTGGCTGTTGTAGGCACTTAAGGAGTAATTAAGCAGATGAGAGCTCTGTGTATCCCTTTCTGTGTCTCTGCCTTTCCATCCTTCTCAAATAAATGCTTTTAAAAAATGGGCCCAGTGTGATGACTCAGTAGCTAAATCCTCACCTTGAATCAACCAGGATCCTATATGGGTGTTAGTTTGTGCCTGGCTATTCCACTTGCCATCCAGCTCATTGCTGATGGCCTGGGAAAGCAGCAGAGAATAACCCAAAGCTTTGGGACCCTGTACCTATGTGGGAGACCCAGAAAAAGCTCCTAGCTCCTGGCTCCTGATCGGCTCAGCTCTGGCCATTACAGTCACTTGGGCAGTGAGCCAGCAGACAGGTTTTTCTCTTTGTATCTGCTTCTCTTTGTAAATCTGCCTTTCCAATAAAAAATATGTTGTAAAAAAAAAAAAAAAAGTAAAGGAGCCAACATGGTAGTTCAATAAGCGAATCCTCCACCTACCAGTGCTAGCATCCCATGTGGGTGTTGTTTCATGTCCCAGCTACTCTACTTCTCATTCAGCTCCCTGTCTGTGGCCTGGAAAAGCAGGAAGATGGCCCAAAGCCCTGGGACCTTGCACTCATGTGGGAGACTCATCAGAAGTTCTTAACTCCTGATACAGCCATTTAGGAAGTGAGCCAGCAGATGGAAGATCTGTTTCCCCCTCTATTTGTAAATCTACCTTTCAAATAAAAATCAACATGATGTTTAACAAATTTTTTTTTAATTAAAGAATAAATATTAGTTCTAGAAAAGAGAGCCAAAGGTACTGCCCTACTATTATGCTCCCTAATGCATGGTTCTGTAAACACTACCACTCACTACAAGCCTTCTCTTAGCTCTTCCAGCAAGTCTGGAATTCAGCTCTATAGGTAGTATAGGTTTGTTTCCATGAAGCCAAGTCAGAACTTCCATGGTTAGAGGTAGAATGAAACCAGGGCTTGCCCTGTACTGCACTAAGACATTTAAATTGCATCTCAAAGAGAATCTCACATCTCTTGAGAAGTAATCATCCATTACAAGTCTGTAATTAAGGGGGCAGCCTTTCAGTGTTCAACTTGGACCCCTCTTTTCAGTGAAGATATTGGTGTAGAAAATTTAGAAAGCATCTGTCCCTTTAGATGATGTCAGAATAATAGATTATTTTGTAGAATATCCATGTGATCTTAGAGACTCAAATCTTTATAATTCTTGGTCATAAATGCTTTCTTGATAAGTACCATCACATCAAAGCCAATTTCTGCCTGCTTTCCAGAGCAAATCCTAGGCAACATCTTCTGAGAACAAAATGTCCAAAGATCTGCATTTGAACTCTGGCATCTCCATGGAGATTGCATCTGACCTTCATGATACACAAGAGTGCCCAGTAAACCTTACCCTAGGGGAGAGAGAAAGAAGGTACTGACCTTGTGCAGTTCCACAGGAGTTGGGGACATGATCTCCTTGATTTCTTGTTTCATTTTTCTCAGAGTCACAGACTTCCTGCCCACATCTGAAGGCAGGGTGTTGCTCCGAGCTGTCTGGCTATAGTGTGGACGAGAGCTGCCACGTTCCTGGAAGCTGGCCTGTCGCCCCAGTTGACTGCGAGGTGTTTGGGTCTCGTGATTCAAACTCATCGTGCTCCCCGACATGATTGTTGCCTGTGGCATTGACAATTTTCAGAAACAATTAAGCCACATATTAAGGAAAGGGATTGGTTGCTCAACATTAAGCACATTTCTTCTTCTGCCCAGTCAAAATACAGTGTCTTCAGGGCATAACCAAAGGCTGGAGAATGGATGTACTAATTGAACGATGAAAGTCTGGAAAATGCTTTGCAAGTGACATTTATAATGCACATCGCAAATCCAATTTAAGTACTTAAGCCATTGAGTTTATTTAATCAAATACCACCCCTGGCAGTTTTGAAGCAAATTGCAAAGCCCTAACATTTGCTTACTACAGACTACATTTTAGGCATTAACTTTTTACTGAGAGGGTTTTCACAGATGGGGTTCTTGAAACTATCTTCAACAGATCTTGTGGAAATGAACTAAAGTCTTCTAAAGCTGCCTCTGTTCACAACACTGTCTTTAGCTTCAACTGGATGGGATTATCGATGTAAATCTAAGTCCCTAGGTTCACTACATAGCACTGTATCCTGTCTTTCCTTTGGCTAAGTTTGTGGCTCAGATGATGGTAGATCACCTAGGTTACCACATCAAGTAATACAGTGATATGAACCTGTATTTCTTAATTTGGTCTGTGTGAAAGATGCTTAGAGAGGCTAAAAGCTCAAAAGCTATGGCAATGGATTGGTTGTTACCAGTACACTGAAAAGCTTGTTCAGTTCCAAATGTTATTTGCATAATATAAGCAAAAGCAATTCTAGATCCCAAAGATGACTGACTCTCAGGACTGGAACTAAAAATGATGTAAAATCAGTATCATGTAGGGATGTTCATTTCTCATGGTAGGATGCTGCCAAAACTCTGAGAAAACAAAAAACAAAACCAAAAAAAAACCAGGTCTGCAAATTCTGCTGTCCTAGAAAAGGTGGCTACACGAGGGTGAACTAGTATCAGTATATCAGAAACTATGGGGCAGAAGCCAGTTCCATAAGCCGTGTGATGGGATACAACACGATCTAGTTTTTTCATATCAATACCAATGCTAAAAGCATCACAAACTTGATTTGTTGAGCCTTTATTTAAGTCTCAGAACAACACTATGAAGAATACACTGATATTCCTCCTCCGTTATAGATGAGATGGAGACAACAAAGCTGACTGATCCAAGGTCTTACACAAGTTAAATGAGCAAAACGAACTGTATAAAACTGTTGATCAGAACGGAACCCCGAGAAGTGAGAACTGGTCAGTTGTCATTTCTCAAAGATTTCGTAATTCAAAAACCCACCAGGTCTCTGACTAGCAGCTGAGTGGTGGCTGAGTGGTAGTCAGTACATATAACAAATGACTTGGAAAAGAAACAGAACCAGTAAACTTTTCAATCTGCTCACTAGATTAGCTATGTCCCTTGTAATTCTGCCAAATAAAATCATAACTGTAAAACACACTCAACACTAACGCATGTGAAGTTCCATATATAGAGATAAAATAATAGTGGATAGCTATATAACCAATTTTTATAACAACTCCTTTACAAATCCAAACTAAAATTATGCAACTTGCCCAATTACTTAAGCTTGTAATCCCAGAAGTATGATTCTAGAACTTTGTTCTGGACCACCTGGCCGCATTGCTTCTCTGTGATGTGTTAGACTGAAGCCTGAGAAAGCTTTTTTAGTATTCAAGGCTTCTTCTGCTTTAAATAAACGGGAGTCATTTCTATTATGATTTATTTCAGGCAAATAGCCTTTTTAAGTGTATTTAAACCTTTCTGTGCTAGCTTTGTTCATGTCACGGAAACGGAACACACTCTCCTTAACATGTGTCATTTCTGTGTTTGGTCTATTGTAACGGACAGCACCCAATGCTTGTTTTCCTGCTGTGGCCAGCATCCGTGTATTATATTTACCATCTTGGACTAGTTATTTTCTTTGTTAATATCTACATTTGTATATTCACTTTTATGGGAGCGACAGGAAACACACTGGATGTAAAACAACCGTTCTACCTGGAGACCACAGTTGTGCTGCAATGAGTCTAAGCTGCTAAGCAGCAGCTAGGAGTGGCTTCAGAAGGGGTTCTCCTGGTGCCGTTGTCAAGGTGTGGCTTTACTGTTTTGTTTAAAGTCAATTTCAAGTGAATTAGTAGTATCTAAGAAGGACTATAAAATTAAAACAAATATTAAAAATTAGAAGAGAAAGAATATGCTTTGGGTTCAGAAATAGGTATTGCTTGTTTTCATGGCAAAACTAATAATAATTAAATGTTCTTTTGAATGTTACTTAGAGTCCTTTATATGACATTCAGTAAATTCTCTATCTCTAATATGAAAGTATTAAACAAAAAATAGCTAAAGCAGTCTCCATTGACTGAGAACTGGAAAAATAATAATGATTATTTTTTATCCAAACATTTTAATTAAAAAAATTTTTAAGTGCTATGTAAGTCTTAACTTATTATAATCCCTGTATTTCATAACAGAAAATCTGGTGACAGAGGTTAAAAATTTGCCTAAAGCCTTAATTCAAAATTTCTCCTTTATTAAAACTATGAGTTTTTCATTGCTAAAGATGAATCAAATTTATTGCTAGCAAAAGGAAAATTGCTCAAATTAATTTTCGTTTCAACTGTAATAAGTCTTCATGTTAGTTAATCTTCTACATTTAATAGTGTTATTGTGTGCCTGAACTTTTAATATGGAATGTAAGTCTTATATGTGGACTCTAGCTCTAATAATTTTTTTCATAAAAATATTTCCAACCAAGGGATTTATATTAAACCAATACATGTATGCTCTTTGTAATAAGTATAGACATGATTCTAATTTATGAAGCTGCCAATCATTATTCTTGGATGTAGGCTTTAATTCTCGTTTGCTTATAAACTCAATGTATTTTCTTTCTGCATTTATAACTTCATACTTCCTTATCTCTCTGGAACTATGTCAAGCAAATTCATCGGCTGCTGAAATAAAACTTTCAGCTCTCTGATATTTTTCCCTGAGATAGCTTAATTTCTTGCTGAAAACACCATTTGAATGTATTATTTATTATCTGTATAATTTAGCCTAATAGAAGCCATTAGAAAAGCAGCTGCACTTCTTCAAAACAGAACTATCAAAATACAAACTAAAAAAAGGCAAGCGAGCCATCACACTCTTTCAAGGCCTGGGCATGTTCAAGAGTCATGCGTCACTCTCATGATTCAGTTGGGGCTACATTTAACTCATTCTACATAAAGGAGGTGGTAAAAGTTTAAATAAGCTAGCCAGTGCTTAAGCATTTTGATTTTTTTTTTTGAAAGCTGTATTGAAAAAGCATTAATTGTCAAGATCTTCATTCACTGAGATGATACAGGATTATCCATGTCCAGGGCCTTTAACTGTGCTCTGAAGCTGTGTTCATGCCAGATCATACTAGGGTGTTTACAAATTCAAACTGATACTTTTCCTTATAATTTTCTTTGCGGTTTCACAAACATTAGAGTCACATAAAGTATACACACATGCAGTTGAGAAGCAAAAACAATATAAAGATGAATAATCATTTTAGAATTGCAGGAGTTTCACCCAGTTAGGCCATTCACATTCCTTATGGTGACTTGGGGACCTCATATGACATCAAAATAAAAATGAGACTTTTGCCATTTTCTTTTTTACAGCTCAGAAAATTTAAAAGAACATAAAAGGAAATAGTCCAGGACTTCCCAGACTAAAATGTCACTAACACCAGCAAATTCACTGCTTTGATTAAAGAACCCTCCAGGAGTTCAGCTATTACATTCTGTCTTGTTCTTCCTTAAATCCACATGCATTGAATGTGGAATCAATGTTTCACGTTGTATTTTGCCTGCTTATCAAATAGACTGGCCTTTCTATCAGCTGCATCATTATCAACTTTGAGGGCAAAAAAAAAATATGAAATTTCCTCTTATGTTCCTCGTAACAATACATTTCTATACCAGGTACAAATGAAAACATGCCAAAGAAACCTTTCTAAAGCAACTGAGAGGGTGAGATGCGCCACTGCTGGGGGACTCAGCTCGACCTTAGCGATTCGGTGGGGAACAGGTACAGTCAGGGTTAGCAGGAGCATTGGCAGAAGCCACAAGTCAGTAAGCTCGAGGGGGAGGGAGGAAATGGGGAAAGAAATATTTCCAGCTGCATCATATAAAACCAAACTGCTGTCCAGAAGGCAAGGGGGGGGCAGGGAAGGCAGCTTCACAAGCAAAAATAGAAACATAAAGGGTAGCTACCAAGAGAGTCATGTTTCTCAAAGACACACGCCTGTCAGCTTTCTCCTGTGGAAAGGGGTTAAAGCTTTTAAATGAACTGGTGTGAATAGTGCAAATGTAAGAGGACCAAAAAAACATGAAGGTAGAAACAAGGAAAGCAAGTCACAGGCCCGAGCTACCTCAAGTTCTCTCAGAATTCCTGACTGGCCACAGGTTTCTAGATCCTCCAGCGCTTGAGACCAGAAGTTCTCCTCTTGCTCCGCCTCCGCGCTGTCGGCTGTTCCCGCGAAGCTGTCAAGAAGCACAGTGCAGGTGAGCACCTTCTCAAACGCGATGCTGTTCCAGACAGACAGAAAGCAGCAAGGCGTTCATTTCGGATCTGGCTTTTCTGCAAGTGTGGCCTCCAAGGAGAGCCAGCTGTGCTCTTAAGCATGCTTTAGGAAGGCCATGTGTCCGGAAGGCTGCAGGGAAGGCCTGTGGTCTTCCTCCCAGCATTGTGGTTTATTCATGGCTGTTGCTGAACGAGCAGCATTAACACAGCCCTACTGGGATCAAACGGCACATGTTACTGTATTTCAGCTGTTGTATCTACAAGCAAAGAGACAGCTCTGAAAGAGAAATGTGTTTTAACTATAAATCGTTACGAATGAATGTTTGTACTTTTTGTAAATTTCATTTAAAAACTTTAGAAAGAGACAAAATGCCAAAGTGTAAGTATCTAAAAAACATCTGGAGAGTCAATCAGAAGAGGGCAACCCTGCCTCTCCCAAGTTAAAACAAAAAAGAAATTTAATGTGAAATCACCTTTTCAAAGAAAAGAGAAGGAGTTAGTTTTTCAGGGCAAGGATATGGTTTTTGCCATTTGCTTTCCTCAATTTTAACTACTGTGATAACAGCAAAAGTTCTGACTGTGTTGTGGCGTTCAGGCACAAGATTTAGAATCTTGTCTGTGGCCAGCTAATCTGAAGAGTGCGTGCCACTGGAAATAGAGAGATTGAGATCTTGCCTCCATGACCCGGAGGCTGTCGTGGAGAGGGCAGTAAAGGCCGGAACCTTACCCGCTGGTTGTGGAGCGGTCCCAGTCTTCACTACTTAGTCCCCCATCTGGGTAAGTCTGGCTTCGAGGTTTAGGGACTGGGGATAAGCTGCCTCTCTGCTTTGGACTCCTCCAGTCATAGGTGTTGAAGCTGTATCCCGAGGCCTGAAAGCCAGGGCCTAAAACATAAGCAAGGTACCAAGGTTGACTTAATGTATGAGTAATGGAACTGCTAACCGGTGTGTTGGGGGGGGAAGAGGATTAAATAATAGCAACCACAATCACAAAAGTGAAAACAGAGAGTGTTAACCCGGCATCTAGGATTGCACTAGTGCTTCATTTATACCACCTTATTTACTCTTCAAAACCAAGTTTTTTTTACAGGACTAGGAGCGCCCTCCATTTCCCATTCCTCCCACCAGGCTACAACCACTGCCAAGGGAAAACTCAGCTTGAAGAAGCTGTTATATATAACAAAACGGAGGAATTTTAAGGAGTTATTCAAATATCTCACCCTGGACCTGGCTCCCATTTCCTCTTCCTCGCAGCTCACGAAATTCACGCCATTCCAGCTGTCCACCAATCAGCCATTTCACCTGAGAATCCCACCCCCAATCTGCCAGCGCCTTCCCCAACTCCGCCCACTTACCAATCATTCTTAGGCAATCACCTGTGACAGTCCCAGGCACCAATCCCCTGGGGCCTGCCCTTAATCCACCCCATCGCTGCCCTCACACCTTGCGGCTCAGCTGAATGGCATAAAGGCCCCCAGGTGCGGCTTTGTCTCTCTCTTCCAGTCTTCCCCCTTCCTCCCGCTTTTTCCTCACTGCTCTACCACCACCCCATCCCCTTCCTGCCCTGCTGGAAGAAACCTCCTAAGATACAAAACAAAACAAAGCAAAGCAAAACAAAACAACAACAACAAAACAAGTTTGAAGGACAGATGTTGAAGTACAATGGGTTAAGCCACCCTCTGCAGTACTAGAATCCCATAGGAGCCCCTGTTGGAGTCCTGGCTGCTTCTCTCTTATTCAGCTGTTAGCGCATGCAGGGAAAGTAGCAGCAGAAGGTTTGAGCTCTTGCCACCATGGAAGACCAGGATGAAGTGCCAATTTCCTGACTTCAGCCTGGCACAACCCTGGTCCTTGCAGCATTTGAAGAGTAAACCAGCAGGTGGAAGCTCTTTCATTCATATAAACAAATAAATCTTCATAAAAGGCTTAGAGGGAAGGTACTATTATGTACATTTTTTCAGATGAAGCACACTGTAGGCTTAGAATAGTGTTTTCAAGAATCCACAGCCACTTGTAAACTTCCCTGGAGGTTCAAGTCATAAAGGTAGAATATGTACTTTCCTCAAAATTGACTGAGCTGAAAAGTGCCAGAGTCTGAGACCTGCCAGTTCTCCTTTCACAACTGTTCTTCTAATGCCTGATTCAAGTGCAGGGCATATTCCTCATCCACGTCCCGCCTTGGGAGGGGCTTGGCTCTGGGACGGCAAAACTTCCAGCTGCCAAGTCAAGGAATGATTTGAGTTCTCTGAGAAGGACTCCGGGGAGCAGGGCCTTATTTCTACCAGGCACAAACACATGGCTGGGCTTTTACTCTCTTCCTCATCCATCCATTTCTGTGTCTCTCAGAACTAGAAGCTACAGAAAAGACAGATGCCAACGTTGGAACTGCTGCATTATTACGTTAACTGCAATGCAAAATGAAGACTGACATTTTTCTGACAAGTAGTTAAGTCTGATTAACTTGATGGCTCAGAGAGGGAGGAATGGCTTTGTAAACTGTGTTACATAATGGGCATTTTTCATAACTTTGAGCTAAATCAGTGGCTTCAAGATTTTGACAGAATTATACTTAAAGCATGCATAGTCACAACAAACTAAAAAAATGATAGTCTTTGTAAGCATTTGAATTTTGAGAGAAAAAAAAGTCTGGATGAAAATTTTAAGTATATAAGGGAGTATCTAGTCTTTTCAGGATTCCTTTTGGGGGTCAAGAGGGAGCGCAAGGACTTCGGTGTAGGTCTGGTGCTGTGACTGCACATACTGCTCGCTCTGTCAACCAGCTTCAGGTTGTGACGTGTGTGTGTGTGCGCACACCTGTATGGGAGTACATTGATTTGCAATGTGATACACATTGCTTACGTTGTGTAACACACCAGTATGGCAAAATAAGCCGGGATCCTCATTTCCAAGTACAGTAAAGTGGCCTGATCATGCAGCTGGCTCTGTCTCCAAGACATTTCTGTGTTGTCTTCCCACCTGCTCTCCATCTGTCTGCATACACCGTTACAGCAACATCCTCAATGCAGTGGAAATGTAGCAAGCAGGGTGTCCACCAGAGAGAGTGCTAAGGTTCAGACAGATTTCATCTCAAGATGAAATCCCAAATGTGATCAAAAGGCCATGAAACTTCTTTTAGGATACCAAGGATACCAAGGTGAGAACTTCGGCCACTAGGCTACCGCTCAGGGACCTGGATTTGGTTTTTGTAAGGTCATTGATAGAAATGAGGAATGACAAGATGCTGAAAGCAAGAAGATAGTAGTAGCAGTAGAAGTTCAGATATTTCAGGCATGATGTGCGTCTTCCAGCAAAGGCAGTGGAGAGACGAGGGAATTGGTCATCTAGAAAGAAGCTGAGAGAAGCCTTGCCCTGACCGTAACATGGAGGTACCCTCCTTTTCTAGGCTCAGGGAGAAAAATAGTTCCCTATCGTGTTTAAGTACCATTATTTGGATTTTGTTTTATATGTAGCTAAACTGAATCCTTAATTGGCGTGGTGGAGGTCGCCATGATTTGCAATAGGAAATAAGAATAGCTAGCTTTGATAAAAATGTAGGCTGGTCGCCATAGGTGGGAGACAACAGAGCCTGAGGTACATGCCTTCTCGTGGGAGTCCAATGTAAAAACCAAGGAAAAAAATGTAACAAGGCATCCCGGGTGTGAGAAGTCAAGTGCCAGAAACAGGATTAAGCTTCATTTTCACTGAGTGGTGACCTAAACACATGAAACTGAAATACATGTATGGTATTAGAAACTAAATCTAAGTTAAATTAACAGAAAAAACAAATAAATAATTTAAAATAATGGGTGTCCCAAATAATTACTCCTGAAGTTATAAGCCTGTCTTCCCTCTTCCCACTCCTCTCTTTTTAATTCCTTACCAACTGGCTTCCAGTATCTGGCTTTACACTTTATATCACAATGAGAGGTAGAAATTCAGTCCGGATTTCTTTCACTAAGACAATGTTTACTTTTATTTATTTGTAAAATGGGGAACAGATGCTCATAAATACAGAGACTTCTGAAAGTGAATGGGATGGTAAGTTGAGGCCTTTTATTTTTTGGAGTACCTAACCTTAGATGTTTATGAAATTTTAATATTCTAACACTGTAATATCTGACTTTCAGTATCAATGCAGATTAAAATATTCTATTTATGGCTCTTCATTTACACTCAGTATTAATTAAGAATAGCAAACTAAACAATGTTAGTTTATAACCACGAGCTTGAAATCAATGGATGATTTTAGAATTCAGACTTCCACTGTATAATCCTGAGAATGTATATTTTACCATTACTTCTGTTTCTGGAAACCAATTTTAATATAGAAAAGACAGCCAGACAATTCTTGCCTAAATTTGTTCCTAAGACTCAATTTTGTCAAGAATAAGAGAGTAAAATCTTACATCTTATGTAATTACTTGTAATATTTCTTTCCCAGAACTAACTAAAGTGTTTGAGATTCTAGTTTTAAAATGTCAGAGTAAAGGAATCTCTTCATACATGGGAATCATGAGGAAATTCATGGAGGGGTGGGTGGTTAGCCTAGTGGTTAGCACAAGCACTTCCTGTATCCGATGCCCTGTTCCTGGATCCAGCTTCTGTTACTATAGTCCCCAGAGAGAGAAGAGCGAGCTCCAGTGACTGGGTTCCTGCCGTTCCTGGCCTCCCCACTAGTTGTGGGCACTTGGGGAAACAGGCCAGGAGCTGGAAATTTTTTCTATCTACCTGTCTCATCAATAAATACATAATTCATGGATAATGTGTATCATGAAAAAATGCATGTTTTTAAAACTTCATGCACCAAAATAAACTCATGCTTCAATTCCACTTTTCCCCAAAGTTTCTGAAGTGCCTCCTGCAGCTGAGTGGAGCAGGCTCTCTATAAGGCGGGATGGCACAGAGGAACTCTGCCTTGTTTGTCCCTGCAGGTGCTGACCCTGTCGGCTGGGGGAGAGCTTGCCTGCAGTGCACATTGGTGAGCTGGGATAGTTCACTAATCTGGAACACAACTCGGGGTTTGTTTCTGAGTTTCTCTAGCATATTTTCAGTTTAGAAAAACAAGTCACTTCATTCAGCAATGAGCAATAATTCAGAAGGACTGGCATCAGATGTCTGCCATATTAATCCCAAATGAAAGAAAGAAAAATAAATAACAAGGGATAGAAAAGCAGTAACAAGTGAAGAACTCTCGTGAGAAAAAAAATCTGCCTCAGAATAACTGACATATATGATGACACAGAACATCACAAGATGTTGGCAAAGCATGGCAGAGTCACAAGGCTATGAAACAAGAGATCAAACCAGAAATGTAAAGAACTCACGGGAAAAGGGCAGGACAAGACCTGAGCCCAGGCACTCCAATAGGAGAAGCAGGTGTCCCAAGAAGTGTCCTTAGTGTTACAGCAAAGCCCACACAGGGGACTGCATTCCTTCATGACATCTAAAGGATGCTGGGCTCTGATTGTACATGTGTTCTTTTATCGATTATTGCCATTTTAATGAAAACTCTAAGAAGTCATCAAACAGATACATTATTTATCCAGGCCAGAAAAGGAGCATTAGCTAAGAAATAAACATAAGAGTTACTCAAGTTCAAAGTATGTAAAATTATGTAATTAATGTAAAATTAATCCCAGCTGGTACCTTGATGGTGGACTTGTAAGCTTTACAACTGTGAAAAATTAAGTTCCTGTTGTTTCAGTCACCTAATCTATAATATTTTATTATGGCAAACTGAGCTAAACAATACATTTACACTGTAACCATATAATTTATTATATGATTCAAAATGGCACTTTTTTTTGGAGATTGAAACAGACAATGAACTGTACAGGGTTCCTGACAACAGGTATTCAGGGCCAATCCTTGGCAAAACGGGATATACGGTCATAGTTCTTAGGTAACAGAATACTAGGTAGGAAAAAAAAATGGTCCCAAGAATTTGATGAACTGACAAATGCTGCCCTGCAACAAAACACATGAAAAGGCCAGGACTCCTTCTACCTAATGTGTGTGATGTTGTTCAAAGACTTCACAAGCCAGGAACGCTAGATGAGCTCTTGTGTTGCAATATTAGTTTCCTAGCAGTTCAGATGCTCCTCGTTTCTGACATGGTTTTTTAAAAAATGATGCTGGCTCTATGATAAGCCAAGATGCGGTAGAGTAACTAATCGAAGAAGTATCTTTGATTAAAAAACGGTATTTGAGAAGGGATGGTGGAATCCGGGCTAACTAACCCCAAGTGGCAGACGTTAACATCAGTACACAGAGGCTCATGATGGGATCAGAGCTCAGACTGCTGCAGTCTGCTGGAATGATTCTTGTGCCTCCAAATTTAGTTTCCATGGAAGGTCAGCATGAACTCACTTTGTTGTCTACTAAGGTCTAACTTAATTTATATAATTTTGAAGTTTTCATTTCTGGCCAAAGGAGGCTTAATGCAAGTGGCCTTACTCTCAACAGGGGCAATATTTTACCCACGAGATAAAGACTAATGCTTGGCATCAAAAGAAAGAATCCTTAGATATTGTAATTGATGTAACTGTTCAAAGCTAAACCATAACAGGTGACAGTGATGTCTTAATTCTTAGGATTTAATTTCTACTACTATGGAGAACATTAATTACAATTAAATATAATAAATTTAATTGTTCTCCTTTGCTCCTTTTCTGAAAAAAAAAGAAAAATATTGTAATAAAGTAATTCTATGCAATATAACAAACTCAGGGCAGAACTAACAGATGAATGTAAGAAGCAGAATTTTTTTACTTTTTGAAAAAATAGTAACTAAAGCAAAACCATTACTAATTTCATCATGGGAAAAGAATAGAAGCACAAATATAGAAATTAAGAAACAATACTGGGGACATAATTATAGAAAGTAAGAGATAATGACATGAAAATTAAGCAAGATTATTTAATTATCTTAAATGCATCTGAAAACCTGAATGAAATGGATTTTTTTCTCGTAGGATACAAATGGTCAAAATTACCTCAAGAGACAAACAAAAGCAAAAACCATGATCTGAGTTAAGAATCAGGAATTACAGAGATCACAAGAAGTACACACTATCCAAGAGAAAGGTGTAGTCTCAGAACCACCAATTAGTTCGTCTCCTCTCCCACTGACCTTTGCTAAATCCAAGCACAGAATCGGAAAGCTAGAGGAAAGATAAACAAAACGCAAGGGGGCCAAGAGCATAAGATACATGGGCAAGGTGGAGAGGCATATGAGCAACGGGTAAAACGGATAGAGGTATACTAGGAGAGTCTGCATCCCAGCTACAGAAGTGGGATTGAGGTCACCCCACCGTGCAACTGCCTTAAGCACACTCCTCTTTCTCACCAACTTGGATCAATCCATTCTATTTTCATGAACTGAGTAGCACCTGGCCCTGCTGGCTACTGGCAGTTTACTTGTTAACTGTCTGGGGCTGCAGCTGGGTGACCTCTCCTGTGAGAACAGATTATATGGGCTTTGTCTAACAGTGTGTACACATTGCACATTGGTGTTACTTCTGCCAGTTATCATGCACTTGGTGAGCAGATGTGCTGACATTTTGGAAGAGCATCAGAGAGCAAAAAGCAGTGTGGTTACACACATTCCCAGCTGAAGGAGGACGATGTACACCAGGGAGGGGAATGGGGCAGCTTTTACAGCCTAAACGGCAACAGTGAAAGGGTTCAGGGTCTTTCTGGTCAATGATAGTCAACTGAGAGGCTGCAGGGACAGGCTAAAAATCAGAATGTATACAAAGGAAAAAAAAATATGAGGATGATTCTAGCCTTTGCTTTTCAAAACCCACACCACAGCAAAACTTGTTTAACTCAAAATCACCTATGAAGGAAAAGGAAATTTCAGAATTTGAGGTCTTGGTAAACAGCTCCAAATGAGCAATCAGCAATGGCTATGATGGATCCCCAAATTCTTGCGACAAGGAAGGCTGCATTGCATTGCAGGTCCCACCATCGTGAGAACAGAAGGTGGCAGCGTTGTGCTTTGGGCTGTTAGGCTGTCAGATGACCTTGGTGATTGCTACACTTGGAAAGATACAATGTTAAACTTGGATATATTCAAAAGAGAGGCCCACAGGATGAGAAAAGATACTTAAAAGTTAGTAACAGGAACAAAGAAATGGGGCTATTTTACTAGAAAGGGAAACTTTAAAAAGAGGCCTGATAGTTGAGTCTGAGTATCTGAAAGGCTGTCAAGTGCATAGACCTTGAGGGTAACCAGGATCGACAGGAGAACACGCTGGGTAGCCAGAGTTCAGCTCAATATAAGCATGCACTTTCGAGCTGTTAGGGCTACAAGGAGATGAGAGGGCTGCCTCGGCAAGCGAGGAGCCACCAGTTCCTGTGGGCATTCAACTGCATGCAGCATGTTGCTGTGCGACAGGAACTTACACAGCACCACACTAGCTCACTTCTAAGCCTTCTAACACCAACTCAGTGACAGTGACCTTCAACTTCCCAGTTCATTATGAGAACCACTTGAGGTTAGTTATGTGAAGATGCTTTGTAAAAGGCTTGGGAGACTCACAGAGCAGAAATACAAAGAAGTGTTGATGCATTTCTCTTTTGATGTTATGATCCACTGGCAATAATTTTTTTAAAAACTTTCAGTTTTCAGGCTGCAATCAGGTGTATTTGTGCTTGACTGGTAAATGATCAGGTGTAACGTTTAATGTGGGTTATACTATTTCATACAAAAATAGGATGTCTATGAATGAAAACCCAGTACACACTTTTATATATTGTGCCAACAACTCTAAAAATAAGGAGTATTCAAGGAACCTCCTACAAGTTTCCATTTAGAGCTGGGAGTCAGTAGGAATAAGTGGGGGTTCCAATTCTTTGGCTCATCTCCTACGCTCGTCTTCAGAATTCCCCAATCCTTCTTCGTGGAACCCCTGCTGAAAAAAACAACGGGACCTGTCTCTAGTGAACTACTTTCCTGAAGTGCTTCTCCATATTCATGTGAACTTGAAGGACAAGTTCCAGTTTGATCAATTGGTCATCAGTAGAGCTAATGTAGGCCTGTTAGTATTTGATAAATGTCCATGACTCCTCCACAGCAAGGAGGAGGAGGAGGAACTGCAAGGCCAGCCAAGTGAAAGCACCCAACAGGTTCAATAGGCAAACACTGAAGCAGACACAAGTTAACTAAAGCTACTGTCTCACAGCACAGAGAGTGATTCTCTAGGAAATGGCTTTAGCAATGGCAGGCCTTTTGACAGGCCAAAGCAAGGACATACCTTGGCTCCCATAGCTGGCGTCGATGGCAGAGCCATCCCAGGAGTCCACAGCACTGTCCACACTGGGCACCGTGGAGGGGTACAGGTCGGACAGCTTGCCTGGCTTCTGGGCAGTAGAGGAATCCTCCTCTGTATCCCCCAGGTCACTCAAGTGGCTGGGAACAGGGAACTTCTTGGGACTGGAGGCTGACTGGGCTTTAAAGACAGGGAAAGAGTGTAAGTATCAGAGTTAAGTTTGAACAGAAAGATCCTCAACTACGTCATGAAAGGAGGGTTTTTCAGTACAAATTCCCCAAGAAACCAATACATGTTTTCACAGAGGAAAAGCACTGGACAGTCTTCCTTGTGGTTCTCAACCACTCACCATCTGTCTGTTTCTTAATTTTCAGGGTGACAGTCTCGCCTGCCATCTGCAACAAGTGGATGGCTTCACTCAGAGGCTTCCCTTTCAAGCTGCTGCTGTTGATGGCGAGGATTCGGTCTCCTATGTGAATTGCACCAGTTCTGGAACAACACCAAACATACCAGGGAGGTAGTAACAACCCCTGCAGTCCCTGATAAGCCTCACCCAGTCAGGGTTACAGACCAGCAAGACTTGCACAAAGCACTTCCACCTATTTCCGGGGCCACTTTATAAAAGAACTGCAACTGTTGGGAGTTACTTCTAGCAAAATTAGAAATAATATTTTAATTAGATTTGAAAAGGGACTTTTTTTAAACTCAAAGGAAGCTGAGTCATTTGATAAACCCCATGACAATCCCAGGAAAATAACAAGTGGATTGATGTATTGTCTTGTCTAACAAAGGTATCTAGGGACTGGAGGAGAATGTCATAGTATAGGGGTCTCTGTTAATATGAGAATGTTAAACTCCCACAGTTTCTGAGCTGCCTCAGTCCCCTCATTTGTAGACGAAGATGTTGGACAAACATTTCTAATGCACCTTTTAGTCTACAATTCTACAATGCTATGTCCCTATTTTTCAAGCCACTGTCTTCAGATATCAGGCCACACGATGCCTTTGTCCCCCTAGTTACTGGAGAACAAATCTGGTTGTAGGGCTTGTGATATACTCAACAGTATCTTAGAAAGAAATGCAGCGTGCACCATTGCCCAAGAAAGCAGTGGACATTGCAAACCGAAGGTATTACTTCACTATGCTTTGCTCCCTGGAATCTTTGAAGCTGAAGCCTGCGTCACCTCTTCCTGAATACACAGCAGCTGAGCACAGCACCTGTCAGGTAGCAGAGACGCAGTCAATGTTTGCAACAAGTCTTTTAGCCTCCCTGAACTTTAGTCTTCTCTTCTCAAAATGGACACGATATAAATCCACCTCCAGTGGTTGCTTTCTACATTTCTGGAGAGGAGCATCGATGATAAGCCCCATGCCATCTTTTACTGACTCTCTCAGAGTCAAGTCAGCGCTCTGCTGGAGAGTTCTCAAGCTCCAAAATCAATGGTTTGTGCAGAACTGAAAAACTCAACAGATAACCTGAGAGGAGAGGGAGCAGGCTTTCTTCATGGCTGTAAGGAAGGACGCTCTTCTTTGACACAGGGAATTATAGCAGTTTCTTCAAATCTTACCTTTCTGCTAATCCCCCTTTAGTTAGGCTTGAAATGATTATAGGATCAAACGGCTCTTCAGTTCCTGAAATTGTGATGCCAAGGGGACCTCCATAGCGCTTAAGCTCCACGGTGTAAATAATTGCTCCGGAACTTTCTTGTTCATCTGCAATAAATGTCAAGGTGTCATAATTGATTTCTTTGGAAGCAGCAAAACAAGATGTCACATGCATTCATAAACAAAAGTAGGAAATTCAAAACATTAAAACATTACGTCTCAGAAAAATAATCACTTGGTGAAGTCAAATTTCTTAACAGGCTTTTATACATTCCAATAATGAATGCATCTGTCAGTTCAAAGGAAAGGGAACACAGCCTAAAGATTACATCTTTAAATCTGCGAGCGATTCTCCCATTAGGCGATCTGGACTGGATCCACGTCCAGGACAGAGTCTGCCTAGCATTGTGTAAGCATAATAAGGGAGAAATATCTGTAGAATAAACATATGGCTAAGTAAGTGGTATGGGAGAAGTCACTCGGTAACAAAAAGGATTGGGCAATGTAATTTCCATTTTCAAGATTTATAAGCATACTCACTTTAAAATTGGTTTATTTCTTGATGAGAGGAGGACAGTGACATAGAAAGGTGAGATAACACTGTTTATTAAGTGGGTTCACTCCCCAAGTGCCCATGATGGTTGAAAAGGGTCAGAACCAAAGTCAGGGACTGGGGACTCTAATGGATCCCATGTGGGTGGACATTAATTGAGCTATTACTTGCAGCCTTCCAGGGTTCCCATCAGCACATGTCGGGAGTCAGGAACAGGGCCCATATGTCAATGCAGCTTGTCTGATATGACATGTGGCTATCCTAATCTATGTTTTATACCACTAGGCCAAATGCCCGCCCCGGAGCTGATTACAAATATGGAAAAGTTGATTTTGCTCAGGTGTGGAGCAAATTACAAGACTGATATGACTGAGACCTAAAGAACTCAGCTTGGAGACCAAAACAGTAAGCAGCACCCCTCTGACTGGTCCCACCGAAGGCAGAGATCTGACTGGTTAGCTCTTCTGCTCTTGACTTGTAAGCTAACCTTCCACATCATATACATTTTGGTTATTTCACAGAGGTGTGAGGCGGAGGTATTTGTGAATGTGTCTGCCTAAAATATTGGCTGGAAAGATATTGTGAATGTGTCTGCCTAAAATATTGGCTGGTCACCATCAAAGTAGTGGGAACTGTGAATATGTCAGGGTTACGAGTATGAAATCTCAGAATGTGGGCCTGGCACAATAGCTTAGTGGCTACAATCCTCAACTTGTACTAGCCAGGATCCCATATGGGTGCCGGTTCTAATCCTGGCGGTCCTGCTTCCCTTCCCATCCAGCTCCCAGCTTGTGGCCTGGGAAAACAGTTGGGGACAGCCCAAACTCTTGGGATTCTACACCCACTTGGGAGACCTGCAAGAAGCTCCAGGCTCCTGGTTTTGGATCAGCTCAGTGCCAGCTGTTGCTACCACTTGGGGAGTAAATTATTAGATGGAAGATCTTCCTCTCTGTCTCTCCTCCACTCTATATCTGCCTTTCCAATGAAAATAAATAAAAAGAAAGAAACCTCAGAATTCCAAGGGATTTATTTGCTCTTGATGTGCTTAAGGTTCATGGACATTTCCTGTTTTACTTCTTCGGCACAGGAGCTGTCAATGGTTATGAAGCTGCTTTATTTCCACAGCTACTTGAACAAAATAGTTAGCTTTTACAGTCAGAATGCAATCAAATGAAGCACTAACATGGCCCTATTTTTGCCAGAGCAGCTGTTTATTCACAATGTGAAACCCTCAGATAAAGCAGAAAACAAAAAAGCCTGAGCTACCATTCAATTATCCAAGTGTGCTGTGAAGAATTGGGGTGACCACACAATGAAGGCTCGAGGAGTACCATGGGAGGAAGTACGTCCTCCCTGTCAGCATTTGCCTCCCTTCTGGCTATGAATGGGAGCTGCGGAGTGGTCATCACTTTCACTGCCCTCATCCACCTCTATAAAGAAGCTCCAACCATTGAGAATTAAAGACTTTCGGCCACACTCTGCGATGCTTGAATCAGCAGTTGGGTTATGAAAATCCTTAATGTTAGACTTACGTTAGCAGCTGAGACTGTTCCACATTAAGTCTAACACGGCCCTGTCTGGTTCAAAAACTTCTGCACTGCTTCTAAGTCGGGGCCAATAGGCTGGCAGTGATGTGCTAAGGATGCAAGTCAAAAATCTTGTTTGCCAACAGTACACGATATTTTGCCATCCTTGAGAGCCAGCTTGGATAGAAATGGAGTACTCACTGGATAGAGTACATGTACTTTGTAGCCAGCACCATTGACTATATAAAATCTAGATAAAACTCTGGTAATATTGACAGTACTTCAAAAGGTTCATGGAAAATTGAATTAAAAGGGTAAGTTTTCATTGGGTGCAAAAATTTTGAAACTCGGGCATAGTTTTGCCATAATATGTATTTTTCTGTTTTTATTTTTGATTTTATGGTACAATCCCATAGGCTCTGGGATCTTCCCTACCCCTTCCCCAAATTCCCTCCCCTCAACTGATTCCCTCCATATTATTACAATAGTATAATCTTTTATAAGCAGTCATAAGTAAAAATCAAATATATCACTTCTCCTTTAAAGTTTATTTTTTCATTTGTTAGAAAAAAAATCTTTCAGAATTTGTGTTGTGGTGGTATAACAGATAAAGTTGCCTTCATCTTTCCTCACGTGTCTGTGACAGCTGGGGCTGGGTCAGGGTCAGGGTCAGGCCAAAGCCAAGAGCCAGGATCTTATCCCAGATCTCACATGTGGGTGCCAGAGAAGCCAAGAACTTGAGCCATCACTTGGAGCTTTCAGGGTGTGCTTTAGTAGGAATCTGGAATGAGTGGAGTAAGGACTCTAACCCAAGTATTCTAATATGGCATGTGGGCATTCCAAGCAGTATTTTAATCATTATGCCAAATATCTTCTCCATACTTTTCAATTCCATTTTTCCAAGAACATTTTAAAGTACTCTTACAGCTAATAACTAGTTATTGCTGGGCAGTCTTCTGGTCGTTCAGTGTGGGTGTTTACACCACCAGAAGCATCCTGACCTTTGGATGCTCTTCATACCTATATGCACCCATGTCCTATATGTATATGACAATCAGGGAAATGTGTTGAATGTTATTCTGTTCTTTATTTGTAAAAAGTAGGTTTTGTTAGGGACACATTATTAATATTTACATGATGGAAAGATTCAAGGTCTGGCATTTCTTTAAAACAGTCCAGTGTGCAGGTGAGATGAAGAAATTATCCTGGGAATATGGACAAAGCAGGATTGCTCAAAAATCAGTGACTATGACACTGATCGATGCATGCTAATTCATTACACTGGTTTCATCTTTTTATACAGAACTGTCTCTCTTTCTCTCTATATACTTGTATGTAAATTTTCACAACATATTCTTAAAAGGAAATATATATTCTCTTATAAAGCCTTATATGGATGCCTTTAATAAACAGATATTTAATTATTCTGGCCTCCTTTCCTTCACAGATGATGGTCGTAGGGGCAGCCTGCACTGGTATTTTTCAGAGCATATGGCCAGTCTGTTCACAGGGTGCAGTTCCCAGGGTCTTCTGCTGCCACTTGCTCCTGAAGAGCCCTACTTTGGCTTGGTCAATTTTTTCATAGAAATCATTTCCCTCAAAAGATTTCCATAATTTGGATCTAGTCTTTGCTTCTTGCCTTCTCCCACCTCAGCTATTTCCATTATTCTCTTTCTTTCTAAAATATTCTAAAAACATAGATCTTAAAACTTACTCTCAGACTTGGAAGCATTCCATTGTTTCTTGTTTCCCTAAATCCTTAAGGATAAAATATAACCCCTTGCCAAGAGCTGAGCTAGCACTTCCCTCCAGGGGGTCACACATTCTCCCCCATGCCATTCCAGTCTCCTAAACTCTCCCCGTTTCTGACATCTCTAACCCTTGCATGCTAGTTCTTGTACACTAACGTCTTCCTTCCATTTATTTCCCCTTAGATAATTTCTTCTCTTACTTCATACTTGGCTCCAATGTCTTATCCTTCAGGGAGACTGCTCAACACCTCAGCAAGAGCCAGAAAACTTTCTTAAGAGATCCTTTGACTTCTGTGAATTCTTTGGTATTTTTCTACTTCATTTTCATATCTGTCTCTCACCGAGAGGAGAAGATTAAAAATCAACGTGAATTCTCCCCAATGAATGAAATTAAACACCAAGGAATTAGAGTCATTCATGTAGTACTGATTTTTGGAGGGGCACAAGCCACTATAATATCCAGAGTTTCTGGCTCTCTGAAAACTAGTTTTGCCCTTATTAAGAATGCATAGACTGGACTGATATTCCCTCGACGTTTTTGTGATCTCTCTCCTTGTCTCCTTCATTACCAATAGGGTTATCCTGGAAACAGATGTTTTTATTTTCTTGTCTCCACCAATCTAGAACAATGCCTGCTATGTAGCAGAATTCTCCACAGGCCTGAAATGAGCAAATGGACACAACAATGCTAGCACGCAGTCACTGATCCACAGGAAGAGATCTGCCAGGGAGCTGTGAGTTAGCCAGTGTGCCTCATCAATTTGTTTGGTTTCTTTTCTCTAAGACAGGTAGGCAAAGTCAGTCTGGATTATCTCTGAGAATGAGACCTGAGCTGACACTGTAGGAACCAACAAATCCTGAACTTTCTCCCTCCACCATTCTAAGAGTATTAAGTCTGCTGAACTTCCAGTTTCATCTGCCTGCTTGGCTTTAGCCCAGCTGGCATCTGGAAGAACCTGCTACTTGGGAGAAGGGTAGTGGCTTCCACTTAGAAAGGGGTGCTCAGGGCATTCAAGAGGTGGAAGGGCTCCAAAATACTTTCTTTTGAAGGCTGTTACAGTTTAGAAAGCTTAGAAAGGAGCAACTCTAGTGTTTAACCGGAAGAGAAATTCTTCTGAAAAGAAAAACACAGAATCACCACTAAGTTTCAAAGTGAGGCTAAGCAGATGTTAACGATATTATAAGCAGCTTTTATATCACAACAGAAGGTTTACAACTATTAGTGAAAGACAGGAAAGGGGGCTAGCCTACTTGTTTGTTCTGCTCAGCTCTAGTTAA